AGAACTCTTGAAACTTTCAAAGTAGATGCATGTTGTCTCCAAAACACACAAACACACAAGGCCCCACTCCTGTATTTATTCTTCGCATCTCGGACGCAACGTCAGTCTCTTGCTTCACTCTTTGTGTGTCCGGTAACCTGGTTGTCAGTGCTTGTTGTCAATTTGGCCTGGGGTTCGCTCTGCTCACGGGCTGAGCGTGCACTAACAGACTGGATTCAAGTCAACAGTCGTTTGTGTGCAGTCCGGTTGAACGGTTCTGTATGTATCAACCGAAACAGACTGAAGCGTCGATGGTTTTTCGTCGGATCTGTAAATGCACCCACTGACTAGTTCCTTCGAGACAAAGGATGGATTCTACCACGATTTGACTCCACCGCTTCGAATCATAGGTTCAACGGAAGTCGTGGCGATTGCTAAAGATTTCAACACCCAAGTTGGAAGTTTGGGGGATTCCGAAAGTCACAAAGGAGGCCCGTTTGTAATCCCGGTCGATCGCAATGACACCAGTGACTGTACCATCCAGCTGTGCTGACAGATTGTTTCTGGTGAGTACGCACTTCCACCATAAGATTGGCATGGAATCGCCCGGCGCCTTTTCACGTTTTCACAACGTTGGACTCACATTGACCATATGGTCACTGGTCACCTCTGCAGTCGATCAGTCGAAGATTGTCGTTCATTTTGACCTACCCCTGTGGACTCAGATCACGCCTTGGAACGTGTTCATTTCTGTTCACGTCTTGCCTGTGGACGCACTAAAGCAATATATCCCACACAATTGCTTCTAGATGATAAACGACGATCTGCTTTACAGGCCGAGCTATTATCTATAAGGTTATCGACGCAGCCGGATATCCAGGACTCAAATAAACGCGTGGCATCAGATAAAAAGGCGTAGCACGCTTCTTCCAATGCTACACAAGACTCCGGTTCATGCAGGCCACACAAACGATGGACATCTTTTACATTAGTTGCCTTCTGGAAGGCAGTAGATCCGACCCTTCGGATGCCACATTCAATAAGTTACGCAAGTCTCTGCGACGCTTACTGACTGGGAGCTTGGGGGAAGAAAGCTGCGTACACTGGCAACAGTGAAAACCAATACCGTTTCCTAAGAAGTACCCGTACAAAAAGACTGAAGAGAGTGAGCTCGCCCAGAAATCCGACGGCTCATTGAATCATTCTCAGGAACTTCGGCTGTACTGTGGGGAGAGCACTTTGGGAATAGTTCAGTTTACCAACCCCTACAGATGATCTTCCGAATATACCTGCAAAAGAAACAATACGTGTAAATATCACTCCTCTAGCATAAATTGAGGTCATCAGGGCGATAGGTTATTTGAAAAACTACGAGAATGATAGACCGGATGCGTTGGCGCCGCTATTCTTCAAGGATGGGGGCGAAGCTTTGGTTTTGGAATTTGCAAAACCTTTCCGGGTTTTCTAGGATAAAGGGAAGATTACCCGGGAATGGCAAGAATCGGTAACTGTTCCGACTGACAACAAGGGTGACAAGTCCTCTTGAGAAAGCCACGGGCGAATTAGCTTGGTGAGTATCGCGTCCGAACTAGTCGCTGCGATTATTCTTCGCCGATTATCCAAAGCCAGTGAAAGGCGTGCGCGTGAGAAACAAACCAATGACACACCCGGTAAAGGGCTGCATCGACCACATCTTTACCCATCGATACATTTTAGAACACAGAAACGCCCTCTGTAGGCTCACAATCTCTGTTCTTCTTGATCTGAAAGCAGCATTCGACCCAATCGACCGCACAGTTCTCTGGTGCTATTTCTTATCAAAAAGTATCTCAGGGAAATTCATTTCTCTTTTCCAATCCTTGTATACAAACAGCCGAAGCGGAATTCAGGCTCAAGGCGATCTTTCATCCGAGTTCACCACGAGAAGTGGTGTTCGTCGGGATTGTCCTTTCGATTTTGCAATTGAAATGGTTCTTGAGATAGCCCTATACCCGTGCGTGAATGGCGGCAACGAAGTTTGCTCCGGCAGTAAATTGCCTCACTTGGAATAGGTGGACGATTTTGTTCTTCTGATTGAAGTTCCTTTTAAGTTACAGGCATCGCCAGATAGCTTAAACAACAGTGTAACAATGTTTGGGATGAGTTTTGCACCTTCAAAGTGGTCACATATCGGATGAAGTATTATCCCGCATACAGAAGGCGCAATTGACTTTTGCCAATCTCAGCTATTTGTGGCGCCGGCGTGACATTCGACTGTTTGTCAAGATTCGAATGCACACTGCCGCAGTTTGATCCGTTCCCTTATACGGCTCTGAAACATGGTTGTTAAGGATGAAAGGTAGGTGAGAAGTGTCGGTGTTCAAGCATCGATCTCTTCGTGGCATTGCTCGTATATAGTGGAAATATCGTATTAACAATGCTGAGGTTAGACCTAGGGTGTTGAGAACCAATGGTCAGTCTGTGGATTAAGTACCATATTTCAACAGGTTAAGATGGCTGGGACATGTGTTACGCATGTCCCCCCCCCCCCCCCCCGATAGACTTCCTTGGATTACTCTGTGCCCCGAGGTAGGTAGTGGTCGGAAGGTAGGTCGAGGTGGTCAGGAAGGTATGAAATTTCTGACCAGTGGACTTGGGTAAGCAGGACGTGTTAGATTTCCGGATTGGGATGTACGAGACCCGTCTACCCGGTGACTGGAGACATTGAGTGATATGGCTAGGTATTGCGACCGGTGGTGATGTTTTATTGGATCTCCTTCTTTGTCTTCGTGATTTCCGTTTATTACTTTGTTTTCGGCTGTTTTTCACTTTGTGCTTCTATTCACTCTCTCGTTAACTCGACGAAGCTGCGAGGTAGCAAACTGAAGTCAGAACGCGCAAGTGTTAGGCCAATGGCTGAATGAATTGAACTGAACTGATTCTTTTTGGTCAACAGTCACGGCTGTGCTCGAGCGTCGTTGTTAAGCTCAACGATGATACTCTATTCTACTGATTTTAAAAGTGCACGACTGCTTAAGGCTTACTGATCTCTACAACATCTGAATTATTGAAGCTTGATATCTCTCTCTACTTAAGTTCGCAAGACTACGGCATGATACTTTTTTCATAAACGCACCTACATGCACCAACACACATGCACACGTGATACTGTACTTTTACCGATGGTTTCGAGCAAATCACATCGTACCAATGCCGATACTTGACCTTGAATCACGACATACAGTGGGCAAAAAGCAAGGTCTTGGAATTTCGAACAACATACAGTTTAGTGGTGATGAACAAGAAAATCTTTCACCGGGATCTACAATGCACGAAAATAATCGATTTCTTTTTTTCAAAATCATGAAATCGAAGATTCCATAATGATACTTAGCAATCCTGCCTAGATGGCGAAACGAGAGTCGAAAGCGTCCAAATAAGCATCGAGCAAGGCTAATAAGAGACGTGGATAATTTCACGTAGGGAAGGAATCGTCATTGTCTAAATGCCGCGGATTACGAATAGATGAATGCGTGACCGATAGGACGGAACACTACCCGCCCACATGACCAAAGAATTTTGTGAACATCTCAAGAAGAGAGGGCACCAAATCCAACCACCAACAACAAGACAGGCGTACAATCAGGTAATCACACTCGAATTACTCCACAGTTGCCCGCTGGCTGACCTCATATGATTTCTGAGAAGAAAAAAATTGAATAGAGTAGTGCCGATTTACGAGCTGCTTTGAAATCCAACGTGCTCCATTGACCTCACGCGATTGAACAATAGCTGAGAAAGCTATCTTTCAAACTATTTTCAATGTAGCTACCGTGTTGTCTTCAGGACATACACGAAATTTCAATAACAGGCGTTTATAGTAGAGAACAATGTTGAATTTTAGCTTGCATCCCATAAAATAATAACAGATAACATGATATTGACGGTGTACAGCAGACAAACAAGTGAGAGCAAACAAGTTGTGAATATTAGTGATTGGACTGGGCACGATATTTGTCCTGCGTATTGAAAACGATCTGCTAATGTGGATGAAAACCGAATTATAACAGTATGATCTGACCGGAAAGAAAACGTTTCGTGAATCGATAACTGGAGATCGAAGAACGAACCAGATATCGGAGTTGGCAAGCACAATTGCCAGGTGAGTTCAAATGAAAACCAGGCGAAATTTCAGGCCGAAAAAGTCAAAAATGAATGGGCATTGTATTGGGATAGTTTAGACGGCTTCAATTGCACGTTAACCCATCGATCCATGATCCGTTATGACATGAAGCTATTTCAAACCAGGACGTATTGTAACTATCCAGTTACAGTCACAAGAGATCCCTTTGAGGTATGGAAATCTAAATTCACGACGAATCGTTCGTAATAAATGCCACTGCGTTCGGGCTCAGCACTCATCCACCACTACTTGTAACAAGAATATACTGAAAACCAGCAATGGCTCGTACCGAGCGGTTCCGTTGTAGTCGCATAAATAGAGTATTCGAGAGGAACACCATCCGAGATCGTTTACATAGATTGCGTTGGGCTAAACTGCATAAATCGAAATAATACAGTAAATCGTAATTTAGTACTGCTTGACTGCAGGACGATAAAACTGTGGAAAGAAACGCATCCTATTACTAGGTCTGCGGTTCCATGTTGTATAGAGCATATTATTTGTGCGATAGGAATGTCGGGAGAGTCGCTCACGTGACTGCACATTCAGAGCAACAGACAACGAGCAGTGTTCCGAATATCCATCAAAAGCACGTGAAACAAAACTCACTAAGTGCAAATGGTATGACCTCAACAACAGCATGTGTTATGTCCCTGAGGGATGGACATGCAGCGTACAAGCTAGGTGTCGTAGCAAAATCCAATCGAATAAATATGCGGCGAAGAAGGAAATGGAATGTCTTACATCGAATAAGTAACGGTGAGACATACACCCACATACAAACCATACTAAAATTGAGCCTTTTTCATGTCAAAATTGAATAGAAGCAAAGGGATTCAGCTGAACAGGAAGCACTTACCACCAGGAAGAAATTCCATCACCAAATAAAGATTAACCGAATCTTGAAAAGAATAGAACATCTTTACCACCCACGGATTGTCCGCCTTCACCAGGATATCACGTTCCGCACGGACATGGGCCACCTAACATGGGATGAGAAGAGTGAGAATCTCAAGAGTCACATAACGTATATATATATATATATATATATATATATATATATATATATATATATATATATATATATATATATATATATATTCATGCAAAGGTACCGATAAGACTGGATAGCGAACACCATCCAAGAGTTACTGCAGCAAAACCTTTCGAATTCCAACACAAGTGATGATCGTCCATGCCACACAGTATTAAAAACTTTCGAATAGTATTTTGTCAGATTTTGATAAGTGTTAAACTGAACCGAGGGTCAAAAGTTGTCGATCATGTACGGACGCCAACCACACTTGAGTATCGCGTGCGTTCTGTGAGTCAGGTTACGAAGTCACGCAAGGTCACGTGGCGGATGCCATGGGTGGTGCCCGTGAAAAAAACGGACAACAGGAAAAATCCAGAGATGCCAAAAGGTTCGCGAGAGTTGAAACAAGAACTGCTAGAAGATAGCTGTCCCTAAGCCAGATATAAAAATATCTCGAACGAAGCCTTATGTGTATCTCAAGGTCTTCAGCAAAGCAGGCAGCAGGTAAGCATCGACGTCAACGCTATATTGCACGCTTACCAAAATATCTCGACGATATCGTCTAGTAAGTCGTACGATCGGGGACAGCATAACTTCACATTATACAAGATTAATGCGTGCAACGAACGCTTCGAATAACATCCCCTAATAAACCATACTGCGCTTTACCAATTAGTTATAACTGGCACCTCCCAACAGTGACGTTTCGTCGGGGACTAAGCTTGTTCAAGTCCCAAGGTACATCGACATCCGATTTGGTTACTCAGGTTTATAAACACTACTAGTTTGAAGCAAGAGACGATTACAGCAGGATTACCAAAGCTGGGAGTCACTTCGGTGTTGTTCTTTTGACCCGTCCCACTAACTCTAGCAGGAAGACTTTTCTGTCTTCAAACCATCTCGGTTCATTAGTACGAAATAAATCGTTTGTATAAGATGTGAGATGAACATAACCAAATTCTTGCATGCAAACTTATTGGCTCAAGTGTCATTGACGAGCGGCTCTTCTGTATGACTGGTATGGTTACAATCCGATCGATCGGTTCAGACACGTGTTGGTCACTGATTGGTTCGTCACCCAACTTCGTTGGCCCCAATCTTGCCCTCGATTCTGAACAAGCGATGACGTGCTATCTGCCTTCTAAATCATCGATCTGTTTCACTCAGACCAACCTTCCCATCGATACTGGACCGGTGAAGGCGTGCTGTCTGACCATCGAACCAGAGCGTTTATAGACGTATCTCATACTACTCTCACATTCTGTCTTCCTTGATTAAGGTGGCCGCTTCTAGTTCTCTCGGTTTCCTGTGCAATTTCTTCATTTTCCGGAACACTGGCCTTTCGAATGCGTATTTCTTTGATTATCTTATCCACGAAGACCGCGTATGAATGCTTTCCTAACTATCTTAGGACTATTCCTTCCAAACACTGATGATGCTTTTCTACCATATCCCGAACCTATATTTCCTTCACTGTATTGAGTTTTGGGAGGTCTTGTGCTTCACGGTCGAAAGAAAAATTCTGTGTCCCTTTTGTGTTGTAAACGGCATTGTACTTCATCGCAGTGTTGTGCTTTGGGCTTCAGAAGATCACCAAACGCCAGAAGCAACAGCCGAGTTCTCCTTCCGAACAGTCCCTGAACTGAGATGCATTCCACAGTGGCTCTCGGGATGTTTCCTTGTTCCAGAAGCATCAAATAGGAATCAATATCGGATACTTTTGTTGAAGTTGATATTATTTTCTCTACCTTCACTGCTGATTCGGCCTTGCCATTGGATTGAGTGTAGTATGGACTTTTGGTCCGATGTTCGAACTTCTACATCGGGCTGAGCTGTCGGAATTCTACGCTCGTGAACTGCGGCTTATTGCCAGAAAACAGTGTCTGTTCTCATGAGTTCAGCATAGTTCACACATCGTGATACGCATCCTTTGATTTTACTGTTCATACGAAACCAGTAAAAAACTATCTTTGCCCGGAGAATGGTAATGTTTACGCCGTTGCACGACGAATGAGATCTCCTCTATATCTTACGCGGTATCTAAAAATCAGCAATAGGACCTGGTTATAGAAATAAAAACCGTATAAGATTGTTAGTCAGCCATAACACCTGTCTGATTTATTATATTTATTAAGATTTGTTCTCCGGAAAAGTACTAACTAGAACTCGGCAATCATACTTCCGTGTGACTGACCTTTGCCAAGTTCCACAAGCATTGGCATTTGAGGCCCCGTAGACAGTGTCTTATATCGACAAGCAGTGGAGCATAACGGAACAACCGTTGAATCTACAGAATCGACCTTCCAGAGTCACAGAAATTTTAGGTCAATAACCTGTTGTACACAAGTGAATGATAGGATCACAAACCTAGGATATCCTTCGAGTATGCTCTGTGTACGATATAGCATTTTCGCCACACTGAAGAAGTATAAATGCAGTTTCAAATCGTGGTCTGCATAACCACATTATTGACATCGACAAAAAAACACCCATGTTGCTTCAGGCACACGTGGGTAGACCACCGAACGATCAAGATAAAGAACGGTTTTTAACCAATGGTGTAAGCGCTTTGTTTGTCACTGTCAGTCTGGATCGAATTGTTCAGGTGGGACTGAGTGATCATCATTTTGAAACGGGTAAACGTGGGGGGGTGGGGGGTGAAAGGAGTGAGGTGAGTAACTCGTTTCCGACAAATTTATGTGCAATGACGCACACCAAACCCAGACGCCAGAGCACACAAGAACGAACTGAAATATGCATGCGAACAAACACGCAGGCGAACAATTCCCCATTTGTTGAACAAATTCTATGGAATTTGCCTCCGACCACTACCGAGCTGATGACTCATACACACCACGACCCCGACAACGTACAGGAAGAAACACGACCAACAGTCAGCACAAAACGCGTCTGATTAGACTCGCACAGTGGTACAGCTAGTAGTCAAGCCACATAACTCAATTCGGTCAATCTGAGAGGATCGTACACACACAAAAAACAACGGCAACAAACGAACGAGCAATAAGTCATCGAGTAAAGTAAGCCACATGTAAAATACAAATCAACAGTATGGAACACGTGGGAGAAACGGGATGTTCATAGTCCGAGCAGTGGAAGATACAATTTGGGCAATATGACTATTAGGATGCCGTCTTTTACTCTGTTTAATCGACAATTACTCCGCAACTCTTTTTTAAATCTTCCCGATTCTCGATAATGATAGAGCAGAATAAATCGCGGATTGTTTGGTTTCAAACTACCTATTGTCCGCCAACTTAGGTGGCAAACAATTTCGCTATCGGGCAAATCATTATCACACATGACCTACTGGGACTTTTGTGGCTAACTACTTCAAACCTCCGGTCAAGGTTGATGCTTTCCTCTAATAGTACAATGAAACCTTATAGCAAGGTGGTTTACCCTCTTACAGTACGCATTGGTTACAAAAAGCGGGATGATATCTTCGACATTATAACTTTTCACTGATATCTCTTCCGGACTTTTCCGTATTACTGTGAACCAACGAGAACGCGATGACACTTTCTTTAAACTACACTTACCAATGTAGTAAATACTAATGGCTAGTAGTGTTGCGTGGATCGAACTACTGACTGCGTCATTACCAAGCGGGTGAACTCGTTGATCGGCCGGTCGATACCCTCTACTATCACAAACGCACGCACATCACTGAATTGTCGCACAGCACGAACGGTCTCCTCCAACCAATCAGACTTTGGCACTGAGCTATACGTGCTCGTTGATTCGTTACTTGACTTTACTATACTGAGACTGGCTCATTGGAGAGGATAAGTTGGCTTCGTGAATGTCTCTGATCGCGGCTGTCCATGATGGGCGGTTGGCAACAAGGTCTTTGTAGACGTTGATCCACTTCGATCTCTACTGGCGAGTGCCGTACACCATACGAGGACCAAGTTGGTTTATGTCTTTGGAAACGGTATCCAGCCTGGTTTTTAACTGTCCTCCTAGTCGGCGATGCCAGTCTGGGCGTGGACATAGTGCCACAACTATGTTGATTAGGGTGTGATCAGGTTTACGGAGTACGTGACCAAACCACTGAAGTTGGCGGAGTCGTGTGCGCGTTGAAAGATGGACGATGCAGCAGTGATTTCGACTGTTTTCGTTCGGAATTCTATCACTACATCTTAGTTTTAAAATAGACTCAAGGCAACAATGATCGGAAACTTCTAGTCGCCTGATATTCTCAGCTCTTAATGGCCACATTTCGCAACTATATAGTAAGACTGGTCGGACTGCGGCATGAACCACCCTGAGCTTGGTCTTAATACTAATCTCGTTCTGCAGCCACGGGGTGTTTCGGAGCTGTAGAAACGCCATCCGGGCGGTGTCAATACGCCGTCTGACATTATCTGCGGCTTGTCCGTTTGGCAGAATGGTGGAGTCAATATACTTCAGACCCGAGACAATTTCTATTGATCGACCATTCAGTTGTAGGGCTCGGTTTGTATGACTAATGGGTATTACGAACATCTTGGTTTTGGTGGTATTGATCTCACAACCAACCTCCGAAGTATACTTATCCACCCGATCCGGGCCACTTGCAAAGTGGCCAGGTCCTCCCCGAGCACCACTACTTCGTCTACAAATTCAAGGTCCGTAGTACAGCAGCCCGTGCAAAGTTGGACGCCCTGATAACCGTCCATCGCGTGTTACATTATTCAATCTACAGTAGAGATTAACAGCATTGGAGAAAACGGGTATCCTTATCGTACTCCTAACTTCAATTTGAATGGACAACACTCTTCGCCGTCAAAACTCTAACATGTGCTTCTGTTCCAGCATAATAAGACTTAATCAGACTGAGGCGTCAGACGCCATCTGAAAGCATTATCTTCCACAGTGACTCATGATATATTGAGTCAAAGGCGGTGCGAAGTCTATGAATCATGCAGTGGTAGGGCGTTGGAA